TTCAAGGATTTCAAGCACCTGAATGCACTCTGCTCGTGACTACGAATATCAACAAACCAGGCATATTTTACACCTTTTGCCAATAATACACAAAATATCAGTACTGTTTAATATTTTTAGCTTTGCAACAGTTTATTCATCCAGTTTTTTTTGTTTAATTTTTATAAATCTGAAGAACTCTTTCTTACACATGTTGCACTACAGGTTTGTGCATTAAAATCTCTTGCGCACAGACTGGGGGTAAAAGATGTCCGTCGTCTTCCCCACATCATTTCCTCACATCGTAATGAGAGCCATCTTCATTACTGCAATCATTATCCGCTACGTGCGTCATCCCCATACGAAGCTTCCTGGCCATGTTCCTCATTACCATCTTTATGGGCTCCTCCTCCATAGTCTTCACCGGAGGATTCCCTTTCAGAGGCTGCGGAGCTGCAGGGCGGCTTGCGTCCAGAGCGGTGGATGTGAAGTGACAGAGGCTGCATGTATTTATAGGCTATCTGAGTAGAGAAATGTGCTGCTCACTGTTGGAGCTATTTTTAGAGCCTTTTTACTGATGGCTCGGAGTATAGTGGAGGAGAGGAGATGGTTCTCTTGGGAATTACTTACGAGACTCCCTCATATCTCTTTCTACCCCCATTCAGTGCAAGGCCGCCCCCCTACTCCCCGCACCTCCCCATATTCTCACGTTGCCTCGTTTTACACTATCCACCCTATTCTTTCCCGACCTTCCTACACCTCATTTTAACTCCTCTCCTCCCCTCATCCTCCCTTTTTCCATCTACTTGCAGAGCCATTTTATTCGTGTCCAATTTTATCCTCTTTCCCTCCCCCAGTCTATTTACTTTACTCGATGCATCATGTACTTTTATCGCCCACTGTAGAAGTCAAAAAGGGCAACCATATTTTTGCCAATGCCTATTTACTTTTTGGCTGTCTGTTAGCGAAACATTTCATGAACCAGTGGACATATTTTAATAAAACTATCAAAGTAGCCACTGGATGCACAACTACAACCGATAAACTTTTGGGATTAACTCCTCTCAAAATAGTTGCCACAGCTAATTCACGTCACATAACCGGCTGGATCTCTGTCGGCTTCACAGATTTTGCGCTGCACAAGGATGATTAATAAAAACATTTGTGTTTTTCTGATTGAAAAAGTTACATGTTTATACTGTGATGCTTTCCTCATTGAATCTGATGTAGTTTATCACTAGCTAGTGCTGTGATTTTTATACTTCAACACGAGCAGAAGCTTCAGTCTCGACCCGGACTACAGTTACATCCAAACAGATGAATTCACGAACGTTCGTTTGGGCCGAGGATGAGGTTGGTTTGCCTCACAGTACGAGATCACACAAAATACCATTTACAAAGTTCAACCAAAACAGCTCCAACTCCATGTACATCCCATCTCAGGATAAGATGATCTTTAAACTTCTGGCAAGAAAGGAGGAACGCTAAACCTTTAATTTAGATCTTATTCTTCTTTTGACACTTTATTCTCGTTTTCTTAAATCAGCAGAAGATGCTCTCTGACATGTACTACAACAGAAAAACTGAAAAGTTTGAATACTTTGTGCTGATTAAAGAAAACAGGCTGCAAATTTGTCACTTTAACACCAGTCCCAATCTTTTTGGACCTTTTTCCTCCACCAAAAAAATAAATCCAAATTATCTGTCATTTTACACATCAATCTTCAATGATAGCAAAAATATGAGCATGTATGTCTTTGCAGAGATAATCGTGCTTCCATTTGGCATTTGTGCTTGCTGGGAGGTGAGTGCATGTGAATAATAAACTTTCAAACATATAAACCATGAGAACAGAGACACAGCAGAAGGCATCTTAGGGGCAAAACACAAAGTTATTCATATCAGACAGCAAATTCTTACATTGGGATTATTATTTTTTAGGGTGAGAGCAGGGCAATCCTTGAGCGAAATGATGTAACAGGATGCAGTGGTTGATGTCAGCACAACAGAATTCTAGCTGAACGAACTCACACAAACGCACACACCGACAGCCAGACACACCTCCTCCCACGTCCTTGACAGCATGTTGAGATGCAGAGTGGCGTCTGCTCGTCAAGCTGACAGACCCGCACTGACAGCACGGTCAGAGCGACGCAGACGAGGGAGGAAGAAAAAACAAAACAAAACATGGATTCTCTAACGCTTCAAACCACAACAACAAACCGTCCCACCGGGCGTGAGCCGAGCAGCGTTCAGGATCATGGGCCTGGATGTTCATTAACCAGCTGAAGGACGCTGTGTCACTCTGATGGTTGGGCAAAACGCCTGCTAAAGCCATTTTAACAGCCAGACGTGTCATACTTTGCACTAGCTAATAGCCAAATTATAAAAAGCAGCATGCCAAATATATCGAAAGGCTAGATTAAAGTATTGAATGCTAGCTAGAAGCTAAAAGCATCAAAAGGCTAGCTAAATGCCAAAAGTAGCAACAGGCATGATAAAAGCTCAAGTAGCAAAGACTAGCTAAAAGCTACATGTATGAAGGTCAAGTTCAAGTAGTTTCACTGTCATTCTCATCACATGTGGTACATGAAGTGGAACGAAATTATGTACACAGGGTCCCAGTTACACCCAACAATAGCAAAAATATAAAATGTAAAAAGAAACAGTATATAAGGATCTAAGATATACACTATAGACACTAAACTAACACCAAACGGCACGCCAAAAGAGCTAAGATATCCGCTAAGCACTAATAATGTAAAACGATACGGCGTAACAACAGCAGCCCGAACATGAGTCTGTGGTGAGCAGATGGATACGAATGAATACAGCAGCATGAGATAATCAGCAGCATGAGATAATCAGCAGCACAGATAAGTCACGTATCACCATTAAAGTTACATAAAAAGCATGAAATTAAATTAACATTATTCATTAAACCTTTATTTAAACAGGTGAAAGTCCCAATGAGCCACGATGACTCATTTATAAGCGAGACCTGGAATGGCTGTGAAAATGACCAAAAGTCTAGCTAAAAGCTAAAAGAAATATGTAAAAACGCTAGCTAAAAGTATTAAAAGGCTAGCTAAAATCAAAAAGTAACAAAAAGCTAGCTTAAAACTAAAAATACCAGAAGGCTAGCTAAAAGCTAAAAATGTCAGAAGGCTAGCTTAAACCTAAAGTATCAAAAGACTAGCTTAAAACAAAGTACCTGAACAGTAGCTAAAGGCTAAAAGGCTCGATTGGCAATGGTAGCTAAAATAAACAGTGTCAGACCAGTGACTAAAATAAGAAGACAAAAGTAGAACAAGCCTGTTGAAGCCAATTTCAAAGAAAAAGTTTTTGAAGGAACTGAGGACATCTCAGTGTATTTCTATGGATAAAGTATTTATTAAATAAAGTTAAGTATTTTTAAAAGCATAAAAGTTGCAAAGACCAGAAGTCATGGCACCTATCTCTTAAGTGAGCTGAACAATTTGATGTATGAACAATAGTACAAAGCGCATACAAGTACTGTAGTTAGATTACTAAATGTGTACAGAGTAAAATGAGAACAACAGATTGAATGCTGATCAACAATCAAATAACTAAATTTAAATCAACACAGCAAATGTATAATCCAAAGCTGAAGTGCAGGAGGTCTACTGAGTTTTTTAAATCTTCATTAAAGCTTTGTAAAGTGATAGGCACTTAATTATATAGTATTACTAAATCACCACACAAAATAATTGTCTTCTCGCTCTCATAAAAGCTTTAGGGTGGCTGTAATTAAAACACCATGACTAAAAGGAGGGATCATGTGCGCAAAACAGGCACATGGCGTCCTTCAGTGTTACCAAGGAGAAGGGGGTGAGGTTTAGCCAATTCTCATTACTGCAGCCGTCACTCTGTCAGTCGGCCTGCACTAAAACACAGCGTGCGAGTCTGGGGACGGCAGAGGAGAGGAGCAGCAAAGGGACAGGGGCTGAGGGGCAGCTAAAATTAAAACTAGTCAAATGGAGAGAAAACGCAGGGAAGTGGGAAATCAAAGACGCCGGGACAACATGAAAGAGAGCGAAAGCAAAGAGATGAAGATGACAGGAGGGAGAAGAGGCTCAGGAAGTGTGCAGCAGCTGCAGGATGGTAACTAACACTCACTTCTGTGTCAGCGGCTCGGCACACCGGCAGACAATGACGCTGAGCACACACGAGTGTCAGAAACGTCAAAACCAGCCTCGTTTTTTGTTTTTTTTCCATTTTGTTTTAATGCTCTAGATTCAGCAGTCTGACTCAGCAAACTAACAGAGCATCCAAAACACGTCAGATGAGTTTAAGTCACAGTTTATAAAGAATGCATATCGCCCTACATCTTTTAAGCCAGAGTTTTAAACTAAAAACGTCGTGAATTGACGAGTTGTAGCCACTTTGGTCAAACCGTAGATGAGATCTAACAAGTAAGTGTTAGGGATGACTCTCAGCTACTACCTCGCTACATTTTAGCTCAAGAGGAGCAGTGTAGCATCCAGTCAACAGGGGGAAGCACCAGAACTGATTCATGAGCTGCTTGATGAATTGACAGAAGGAGAAACAGCTGAGGATGGAGCTCAACGTCAGCCACGGACATGACATCGTCTCACAGCAGAAAAAAACCCTGACGACACAAATGAAACTCAAACACAAAATGTGTGTTTGTCCAAGATGCACAGATGGAATGAACACAACAATCAGATCACTAATATCTCTTTAAATCTGTGTGCGTTGGGGGTGTAGGGCATCACGACAAACCTCCAGACAAGGTGGTGGTTGCCGTGGAAACCTCAGACTGAGGGAAAAGAAGGAGGGATAGACGGCGCGAGACAGGGAGGGGAGCGTGTGTGCATGATGAAAAAAAATAAGAAAGTGCAACTTTCTGAGGCACAACTGAGCGAGAGGAAGGAGGAGGTGAGAAGAGTGGTACTTAAGGAAAAACAAAGACAGAACATGGACAAAGACGAACAGAGGAGCGCAACGCCGGGAGAAGGAAAACGAGGGCGACTTACAGGGAACCGTGCGGAGGTAGAGGTTGTCTCTGATGATCTGCTGGTGGTCGTGGTCCACTGAGCCTTTAGAGAAGCGCAGGTTGAGGTAGTGCCGCAAATCTTTGTCAACTACCCCCCCTAAACACAAAGACGGAAGGAGAGAGGTTAGTGTGAGTCATCTCAGCCGTACAAGAAGGGTTTTTGATGAAAAGCTCTCCACTTATTGAAATGAGCTCCACTGAACTCAGTTCCCAAAGACAGAAAGCGTGACCACCAAGTGATAGATTTGACACTTTAAAGTGAGCTTTGTGAAAAGATTAAAAACAATTGACATCTTACCTGTTACATATAACTCTTTAAGCATCCTCAGTTTGAAGAAATAGTTTTATTCTGACCAGATGCGTGAGCTAACGGCTAATATGAGTGACACAGAGACTCAAGTGGACTGCCGCTACCCTAAAAGTCTAAATAATCACACAGTACGTCACACAAACACTATTTTATCAGCCTTTTTAATACTGTACATTTCACATCATGTGATTTTTACATAAAGTCTGTGCTTGTTTTTAAGTGTAAAAAGCAGCAACTAGCCGTAGCCCTTTAGCTGCAGCCTGGGGCTTTTCCAGCTGGAATGTTGTAATATTCCAGCTGGAATTACTACATAATACTAAACTGACTTCTGTCTTAAAGTTTATAAATTAGTGCTTGAAACACTAAGAAATGTTTATTTAGGACTACAGCAATCAACTTCGGTCTTATGCTAAGACTACATTTTGGAGTCTCAAAATTTCTATTGATCAAGGAACTATGTAAAATATTAAAGAGATGGGCTAATCATTTGAGAAGTGATAGTTTGTCCAATAGTTATCAATAACTAGTACTTTACCAGCCATGAAATCAGTCACAGAACATATTGAGAAGTCTTCTTCAAGGCTAGGCTAAAGGATAGCCTAGCCTCACTTGGTTAGCCGTTGTTACTAATTTTTCAAGCTTATGTAACAACTTATTAAAAAACGATATGCTGCTGTGAGGGAATGCTCCATAAGCTGATTTTAAACATCTATACTTTACATTTTATGAGTTTGCAGCCGTTTTCTCAATCAAACTTTTGTGTTACTACGCAGAATTTGTGTAGAGAGCAATGCTAACCATTAGCCTAGCCTAGATGAAAACGTTGGCCCTTTTCTCCACAGTCCGTGCACGATGTCTGATGCCTTGTCTGATTAGGTAAAGTATTGACAACTATTGGACAGAAAATCACTTTAAAGTGACCAGACTAGCTTTTTATACTGCAGAAAATAGCATTAGCTTTGAAGTCGTTAGCTTGTCAGTCCAGACAGAATTAAACTTTTTCTCCAAAATTAGGTTTTTCAAGGAGGTAAGATACTATTTATAGAACAAGTAAGATACTAATTATTCATAACATTTCATCATAAGCCTACTTCTAAACAGCTAAACTAAACTTTTTTTTATTGTTTTACATAGTATGGAGAAAACACAACCTAGGCATGCTAACGTTTTCTGCAGTGTGTGTTTCATCTCGAGTTGCATTTTTCAGGCATCACTCAAAAATTAAAAGTAAAGCAGCTTTTCACAACTCTTAGAGAAGGTTAAAACTGAAGATGACTCTAACGATGTTATGTTTCTGTAATAACCAGTGGAAGTAGAAAATTAGATGTTGAGGGTATTGAAGAGATTAGATCTTGTGCCTTAATCAGGTTTAAAGCTCGCAATGATTTCCGCACCAAAGCAAAGTCACCAGAGGTACAAACACACACATGTCATGGCCACTGTGTAAACCAGTGATCCCCTTGGAGCTTCATGTGCAGTGTCAGCAGACTGGGTGACAAAGGCTACAGAGGACAACAGCTTGAACACCTCCCCCTATTCTCTGTTTCTGTAGATTATATGCTGTTTAAGCAGTTTTCCTTGGTGTGAAACAAAATGACACAAGTGAAGGTAGAAGAGTGTCTGGGAGGATGTCCACAAATAGTTCCTCCTGCATCTGGAACAAGAGATACCCGGGAGGACGAGTGGAGAACTTTCTCCACACAACATCCGACATGCACTAGTACCACATCCAACAAGCGCGAGGGGATGAGGTTACACGCTGTGCATTTTACAAACGACAAACATGTCTCCTCAGTCATGCATACTCTATTGACCTCCTGCCAAACTGAGACAACAGCCTTGGGCCTACAAGTTAATGCAGCGCCTACCTGTCAGAGAGAACGGCACCGGAGCGGAAACTCATCGGGCCTCCGTGCACAATTTGGTCACGGGCATGCTGACACAGGTGACTCTGATTCTGAAATAATTAATCCTTTGTTTGGAGCAGCTTGGGGAGACTGACACCATTTTAGCTAGCATTTATTCTGTGCAAAGGCTGGAAGGAGAAGAGGGGAGAGGAAGTAAAAACAAAGGACGAGATGAAATCCTCATCAGCATCCTGCTGAGATTTTCAGATGGATAAATGTCCAACCACATGCTTTGTATTCAGGCACAGGCTCTGTGTTTGGCATGCAGACACACACACACACACAAATCATGCACACACACTCGTATGTGTTCAGAAAGATGGAGACAGTGAAGACAGAAGCAGTGAGATCTAGACACCTCATCAGCAGCTGGCCCAGACGTTGATTTTTAAAAAATTGTTCCTCCACAGGTTTTAATCCTCTGACAGTCTGTCCTCCCAGGCGTCCTTTAGCCTCGCAGCCAACCACCGCACGTCTTCTTTTACCTTGATGGAACCTCTCCGTCTTCCCGAGCTGCTTCCTCCACTGATGCTCCAAGACGCAGGAACCGGCCGCAGCCAATTTTAATGCCAGAAGAAGAGGGCGAAGGAGGGGGATGGTAGAGAGGCATAGGGACACGGGTTGATGGAGAGAGACGACGGGCGTCGGGAGAAGAGGAAAAAAAAAGAGGAGAGGAAAAGAAGATGTACCAGTGGGATGCCGGGTTTTAAGAAAAAAAAAAAAAACTGCCAGGGAGCTTCCACAATCCTGCAGCAGCCCCTATCTGCTGCTGACGTTACTGCACCGAAAAGCCTGTGCATGTGTGGGAGGGACGACTGAGTGTGTGCAGAAAAAAAGACTGACAGGAGAAAATAAATCTTTATGCGTGCGTTTGTAGACGTGCGTCTCCATTTTTGCAGGCAGATGCTCCCTGACATTCCTCAAATACGTCCACCAGATGCTCTCCAAGCCCTGACTTTGTGTTTACGTCACGGAGCAGGAAGAAAAGACTGAAAGATGCAGCAGCATATGTCACACTGGTACACACACACACACACACACACCAGGCAGATGAGCTCACAGCTGCAGATGCCAGTGAAGACGCCTCGAGCTTCGTCTTCAGCAAAGGTTTGGTCAAAAATACTAGACATAAACAAACACCAGAGGAGAAACACATGATCTGAGAGCTCAGATCAGAGCGTGGAGGAGGGAGATATTTAAAGAAAACAAACTGCCTTAACCACACAGCTCTGACAGGATAACACATCTACCAGCTGCAGCGCTGCAAGGAATGCATATCGCTCGCTTGGGTCAAACCTTGAACACACTATCTCATGCAACTACTCTCAACTACTACCACTGTTAATTTGAGCACAATACCTCCTACACTGTCAGAAATATACCTATTTATGTGTATTCTAAGTTTAGTTAACTGTGGTGGCCATCTTGAACTGGATTGTCTACAAACGTTAATCAGTTGTAAATGTACATCCGATGATTATTTTCTGAAAGTTTAGTTAAAATTTGTCCAGTGGATCAAGAGATATTTTGCTAACAGACAAAGAGTTTTTTTCTCCTAAATTTAGTGCTGTGGTTTTAAACGCAGGTCTTTTGCCGTCAGCCACCACTCAAGTGGAAGTTGGGGATCGGTCTCAGCTACTACCTGGTATCGATCTGTAGCTTTGTCTTTTCAAAGTTCAATTTTCTGTGGCGGCCATCTTTAATCAGGTTGACACCTAAAGTTAATCCATTGTAAATGTCAACCCAATGAATAGTTTCTGAGAGTTTAATTAAGATCTGCTAAGTGATTTATGAGATATTTTTGCTAAATACACAGACATATTAATGCATACACACAGAGCAAAAACATTATCACTTCACTTTTGGCTTCTGCGGCGGTCGATAAAAGCAAAATAAACCTGACGGAGCAAACTTCACAGCTGTCTTAATTTGTTGGTGGCTGCTTCAACCAACCAGAGGAGGAAAAATCTTGGAAAACATTTTTCTGAGCTTTGCATAAACTTAAGCCGACATCACAAGAAAACAAACAAAGAGTCCCACACAGCTAAATTACTGCAGCCCAGGAAGTACTTCTTCCTTTACTGTGTAAAAGGATAACTTCCCATAGTAAAGAAAAGCCCAGGAACAGGCAGGAACACAGGTTTTAATACAGAGAAATGTGTATATTGTTGATGTACACAACATGATGCTGTTGCTTAGCAACACAAAAGAAGCAGAGTTGTCCTTAAACCTCGATTCGTTGAACCCATTTGTTCTGTTGGACGTTCTGGAGCTGATCTAATTACTCATTTGTGTACAAGTACTGGAGTAAAACTTGATAGGATACACCAAAAATATTAAAATACCAGTATTTAAGTAAAAAGTACCAAACATGTCTACGACATGCTGTTATGAAAGTAGGAGATTCACATCGACTCTCCTGTTATATATATCTGTGTTCATATGTCGGGCTGTTAGCAAAATATCTCATGACCCACTGAACAAAATTTAATGAAACTCTCAAAGTAATCATCGCATGAACATCTACAACTGAAGTCAACACAATTCAACATGGCCGCCACAGCTAACCACCCTAAAAAAAAACACTTGTGTAAATCTCAGTCTGATTTACACAAACTGAGCTAATATTTGGAGTGGTAGTAGCTGAGAGTCACTCACAACATGTGCTCTGAGCACTCAGAGCACTTTAAGGACATTTTGGCCTGGAAGGCGGCGGGCGACATGCATTCCTTTATTCTTGCTTTGTTATTGATTTATTTTACAAATACAACCCAAGCACATAATGACACATAATCCTTTAATTGTGTTTACATAAAACCAAAAAAAGCCCTAAATCCATACATGCAGCACAAAAACTAGCATAGATTTATCACAAAATCT